CCATAAGTGTATTATCATTAATGGTAACTTATTTATCGTTTTACAGTTCCTAAGAGAAATAAAATTATATATAGTAATAACAAGAAGAAGTAAATTTAAAGAAATTGTAAACATATTAATCAATTTGACATATTAGTATGAAAATTCATTCCATTATTCCTTTCAAAATTATTTTTGTTCATTTTTATTGAACGACCTTAATTACGTAAAAGGTATAATAATATAGGAAGAAAATCTCGACACAATAGAGGTGAAGTAATTCATCATTACAGTAACACACTATACAGTGATCCCTGTAGCGAATACACTCTATTCGATATAAAATCGTATCGCGAACACCCAAGACTTTTGCACAATATTATAAGTTCTTATAGAAGATCGATCTTCGATTCATCGAATATTCAAATCGCTTAATTTCTGGTTGTACACGTATTATATACTAACAATGTATTCTGAGTTTCTGAAAAAAATTGACATTTTTAACAAGCATATGCTATTCACCTTCATCCTCAACTGCCATCCAGAAAAACTTCTATTCGTATATTTTCGGTATAATAAGTTAACGCGTTTCGAGAAACTTGAATTCAAAAGAGAAGGTGATAATACAGATTTCTGGCTTATCATTAGCGTCATATATATTGTACGTATATGTATAACATTCGATTGGACATTTTAGTAACTTGTGCATACAGTCCTTGGCTATTGAATTAGGATCACATGAAATCTCATTCTTTTAAACAAAATCCCAAATTTATAAAATTGTGTCATAAGTTTCAAATTGACTTTGGCTGCCTAAATTATTATTAAATAGATAAACCATCGAAAACACACCATAATTAATTCAGTATTATATCGTTAATAGAATTCTCACTGGGATGAGAATTATAATTAGTGATTAAACATGTTTGTACAAAATCACGTGTATACTTATGACCAGGTATCATATTAAGAACAAAAATAATAAATATTAGAAAAATTATGGAAACACTCAGTATACTACAGAAGAGTGTGTATTGAGTATATCGAGGCTCAGATAGTAATATCCTAGTAATTATTAAAAAATTTTTACTAATAATATTACTATATTATATATTATACTACACTTATATATAATATGTAATATTTATGTAACATAATAATATTCTTAATAAAATTGATAATTAGCAATAAATTTGCATTTCAATCTTGTAATTTCACTGAAAACGTGAGAAATATCGAAACATTTGAACAATCCTAATTCGATGGCTAGAGACTGTAAATAACATCTACTGCTGCTTCACTTCCTGTCTTCACGCATAGTTTCCTTCGAACGATACACCTTATGTTATAATCAGATCGTGCAGAGAGAACAGGAAGAATAATTCAGTAATTCAGAATTCGTAGGGAATCACAGTCCTAGCGTAGAAAGAACAAAAACGATAGCGAACAAGAGAATGGAGGAAGATGACTGTTGCTATTGGCAGTGAATTTCGAAAAATGTACAAAACATCGATGAAGTCGAAAATAAATAAATATAAAATGTATACGAATTAAAGAGGACAAAACGAACGAATGATATTAAAAAAATATGAAATAATTGCATTTTTTTACCATTTTCGTTTTTTATCAGAATGTAATACAGTTAGAAAATCGCGCGTTTTCGTTTCATTCGTTCATATACGAAATCTCCTTCGTACCAATTGTGATCAATTCGTACCATTTCGACGAATGGTCGGTAAGCACGTTAATCGCTGTGAAACATTTCAAATGATTCACGTTTAATTGTAGTTTACGATCACGTTTATCGATTAACGTCCCCCAATATGAAAATCATACTTTTACGAGCAAATGTGTAGTTTACGTAAACCTCTGTGCAAGATAATTGCATGCTTACATCGTTTTCTTCTTCGTAAAAAAGGTACAAACGCTTGAGAACGATTAAATCATTGGAAAATGTAAATATTGCCTGTTTTGTTCACTTAATACGATATCGCGTAAAAACTATTATAAAAGTAAGTTCACGACTTTGTGTTCACGAAGAGGAGCGAATAACATGCGTTTGATGAATCAAGTTGTTCGAATTTCTTTTTGTATACAGAAATGGAACCTCCAATATCCGAATTAACAAAGTATAATTGAAACACTTGTTAGTGAATACTTCATATTTCGACAATGGAACTCCAGAGTGAGAAATATAATAATAATAATAATAATAATAATGACAATTATCGACACTGGAACTCCAGAGTAAGAAATATAATAATAATAATAATAGTAATAATAACAACAACAATTATCGACACTGGAACTCCAGAGTAAGAAATATAATAATATAAATGTAATATTTATTAAAGTACTTATAGGTTATTTTATTTATTGGTGCTTTAAATTATTTAAATACCTTTATTCGAATACAGTAAATAATTTAAAACGGAACCACCTGTAATTTCCAAATTTTTAAAATTTTTGTATCATTTTTATTTTCTTTCATCTCTTCGAGTGTCTTTCGCTAGTTATTTCACACCGAAGGAAAATGTATTATTGAAATAATTGAACGCCAGTGTGGTAAATTATTTAAATAACAAAATATATGTAATATTATCTGATAATGGAGGTTCTACTGATACTGTGATAGCTATGTCTTTTATGTAAAATTCTTGTCTTACGGTGTAGACATTATTTAAAAATATATTCCTCGCGAAGCATGATATTTGGAAAAGAACTTAGATAATGCCTTTCTTTATTAATTAGTGATTGTATCGAAAAGCTCGATTAACAGTATCAAAGTTGTACGTCTCATCGAATTAATCAAATAAGTTCAATTTGCGTGTTTCGACAGTTTAAAAATATGTGTTTCAATAAAAAGCATAATCAGTCAAAAATAGTAGCGAATCGCGTTATAAAATTCTTGGAAATTTGCGAAGAGCGTGTCAATAATTTATTAGTTAATTTGTTAAAGAAACATCGATAAACAATCAGTATCCGCGTCTAAGGAAGAGTAATAAAATGTAAAAGACATATACCCATTGTGAATAAGTGAAATATTTTGATGAAACATTTATATTATACAAGTATTTATTACGCAACGCTGTGCTTATTACGATTAGTAATACTTCATGATTGAATTGATGACATTGACATAACATCTTTTAGATTTCGGTACAATTTTCAATTTGTCGTACCTAGAAGTAACTTACGTTTTCAATATTTATTTTACAATTTACGTTAATTCAGACTCCTTTCACTTCAGAGTTTGTGTTAATTCGAATTTCTTTTATTTCAGAATTTATGCTAATTCGTATTATTTTTATTAACACCAAATTTTGTAAATTTTAAATACAGTAGAAATCCTTGGAAATTCTTATCCTCAGGAAAATGACATAATTCTTTTCATACTGATCGTGAATCATACGTAAAATTACATTTTATTCGAAGAGGTGGTAGTAATTTAGAATAGTGTATTATACTCTTTAAAACCTATTTTCATATTTTTATTAATTCGAATATTTTTGTAAATGTCTTCATTTTTGATCAGACTAGGAATTCTTGGAAAATAATTAAAATTATACTGATTTCCTTTATAACGATAGTGAAATGTACTTAAAATCGCAATATTTTATAAACGAAAGTTTAACACTATTAATATAAATAATTACAATTTTATTTTTTATCTAGTAGTGGTATACATATGAAATTTTATGCTAGCAGCTTACTATAGCGTTCAAAATATACCACAACATCGGTCCTCCATTTTCGTTGGTATAATTAATGTCTGTTTTCAATGCAACAATGAAAACTTTGTCTACGTTCCTGTCCACCAGTGATTTTCAAAACTACCACCTCTTTCATTTCTCTGAACCTTTTCCTACACTTGTATGTTCCTCTTTAAAAATTACAAATGACATTGGATGATGAAAAATTGACAAAATATATTATACCTGATGCTTGTACCAAGGAGTAAGATTTTCTCATAATGGCTCTTCGAAATCCAAAACGAACTGTTAACCCAATATCATCCATGAGCTTCTGAGAACCCCTTACGACGGAGTTAATGGTGTAATGGTATATCTCGCGAGATGCTCGAAAGGAAACTTTATTGATTAGAAATCCGTGGACGCTCGTTCACGAGGACAGCACCAAATGTAACTGAATATATCGGAGAAAGAAGGCCTGCGTATCAGTAGGCCACCCCAAGGCAGTGTGTACATAGATAATAAAATCCTTTGTCCCTTTTTTTTTTTATTTTATTTTATTTTATTTTCTTTGGTACTTCTTCGAGACGAGCCATTTCCATCCGATTCGTTGCTCGTAAAAAATATTTTTCCCTATCGTTGAAGATATGAAACCATAATTCGCGCTGAAGGCTCGTGCAACGTTGTGCCGTACGATTGGCTGCGAAAATTAACGATTAAAGCTTCTTTAACTTCTTTCGACTCAAAAACGTTCATTCTGATGCAGTGATTTTAATCGATGTCTATCCAGAATTTAATTCTTCTCCTTTCATGACGAACGATTCGATCGTTCTAAATTAGGAAACGTACGTCTGTACTTCTCTTCATGCTTCTCCCTTTTTCCCTTCATTAAAGGATACTTAATCAGTGACGTTTTATGTATGTATGTATGTATATATATATTGAAGCACTTATCGTAGCGATTATTATTGTGGTACGCACAGTTACCTATAACTACGAATACGTCACGTCGTTCTACATTTTGCTTCTTATGCTCATCTGCACAGAATTTAACAAATATTCATACATATACATTATTTACAACCGAGAATGCAGTCTAAAACTACACCAACGCATTCTATCACTATATACATGAAGCACACAGTACTCGATTTGTCTGCTTTTAAATCTCAGCTGTTTACTACGTTATTGTCCAATTTGACCATAAGCAATGGCGTGTAAATATAATTCGGTATCAATTATGGAAGGCCTTCTTCTTCGTAGCATTCCCGAGTATGCTCCCTGTCCATCCGCCTACCCTCGTCAACTCCAGGCTATTCGTTCCTTCTCTTACGTCATGTGCAGGTCACCCTTCAGTATTCTCATGAAAGTCTTTTTGAACTGCTGATTGGCCAGAGCGTAACAAAACGGATTTATGGGGCTGTTGGTGTAACACAAGAAGTACGAGAACATGTACAGATGCTCATTCGTGCAGGGTTTGTTCGAACAGAACCCTTCTACCAATGCCAAAATGTGGTACGGTGTCCAGCAAGCAACAAAAGCACCCAGAATGAAGGATATAGTTCTGAACGCCTTCCTGGCCCTGTTCTCGTACCTAGACTTCTGTCGTCCCATCAAGGGGTCCCTTCTTCGCGTCTTGGTCTTCAGACGTTTCCCAATGGTCTTCACGAAGTCCTTCCTAGACCCTCCATCCTCGCTGCTTCGAGTTTCCTTCTTCTTCGACTGCTTCTTAGAGTCCTGCTCATATCCAGTTGTACCAGAGATAGTGGGTACCATGCTTCCACTCGAGGATGAATTTTGAGGGGGATTGATCTTCGTGTCCTGATCGGAGAACTGATTCGATGCACTGTTGAATGCCTCTACAGCTGGCGAGCCGACGATCGTGGTCACAGGCTGCTGTTTCGTGTCCTTCGCCTTCACAGTGACCTCTGTGTGCACTTTGCTAACAGTTGGTGAGGTCTGAGAGGCGACGTTAGTCTTCTGAGTGATGAACACTCGAGGAGGATGCGTCTGGCTAGAGGCGTTCGACATAGCTGGTTGGAGCTGGCTCTGCTTGTTCTGACCACCCGTCGGTTGCTGGTTGCCGACTTGTTGCGCCGTGGCTCTGATCAGAGCTGCCTGCAATAGACTGGTATTCGGTGCTGTGGATACGTTCCCTAAGATCGGTGACGATGGTGCACTCGACAGAGGATTCGCTAGGCTACACGAAAAGGAAGACGATGGACTCTCATAAGAGGGACTGGGTAGTATCACCGAACTTTCATCCATGTACCTCAAATCTCCGCCATCTAAACCTGTCAAGATGTCGTAGGTACCCGTGCCATGAGAAGACACGACCAACGACTTGGGTCTGTCCGTGCATGACGAAGTAGACGTGCTCTCTGACACCTGAGGGCTGCTTTGAAACTGAGTAGGCGGTGGTATAATGTTCTGTTGGCTGCTGCTGATCGAATGTGTAGGATGAGTAGGTGGCGAGGTCTCAGCCGAGTTCAGAGGCTGCTGAGTGGCGCCCTCACCGTTCCACTGAGACTGTTCCGGTGTCAATGTTTGGCTACTCGACTTGTCAGGTTCTGCTACGTTCTCTGTATCCAGGAGACTCAGTTCCTGTATTTTGGGTAACGTTTGAGTTTTCTGTGTCGTTGTGCCTATGTCACACGTGGGGCTGGCTGTGAATGTCTTCTTCGGTTGCATGTTTACGTCCACCTTCGCGGGGACGATTCCGTTCATGTGACCGTTAGTAGAGAAAACTGGTAGGGCACCTGACTGAGCAACTAGGCCAGCTAATGAGGATCGTTTCCTGGCGCTAATGAGCTCTTGAGTTGGGCCCATAGTGCTTTCCTCGTCTGAGTCGAACACTGGACTACTAGACCGTTCAGATTTCTCCGTCTCTGTAGGAACATTGCTTCCATAGGTATGTTTCTCCGTGGAATCGGTTACCCCAGTTCCAGAGGTCTTCGAAGAGGTCTTCTGGCCTGAGCCATCTCCGCCTGCTCCCTCGTCGCCTGACGTGCCTAGCTTCGGCTTATCCTGACTCAAAAGGGTACTTTGCGTTTTCGATATCCCTATACCAGCTGCACGACCTGCCATGCCAGACATCGTGCCTGCACTCAGAGCAACCATCGATTGCATCTTGCGATGCTTGGCCTCGCTCTTCTTCTGCATGTCGTAAGCTGTCTTGAATATACCACCGTAGAGAATGAATAGGACCACCAGGGTGGTCCAATAGTAGCCTATTATCAGGGCGGTGTTGAAAATTGGGTCCTTGAGGAATTGAACGGAACACTCGCCAGGATCTAAGTTTCTGTAACCGATGAAGTGTTCCCAGCCGAATATGCTGATAAAGAAGAGCAACGCTGGAATGATCCAGGTGATCGTCACCATCCAGATCACGCGGTTTTTCGTCCGCCAGTTATGATACTGGGCAGCTATTTTCACTGAACAAAATCGATCGATCGTGATAAGTAACACTGTGTATTGAGATACCAAGCATACCGTGTAATCTACGGACAGCCATAAATCGCAGAGCAAGGGTCCAAGATTCCAATATCCCATGAGAACGTAGACCGTGTAGAATGGCATGGACACAGTGCCTGTTTAAAAATCGCATTAAGGTTAGCTTGAATTAAATGAAAAGTTATTACTACGAATGTAACTTATAACTTGCTATATGAAAATTCTATGATTACAAGCTTGACTGAACTAACAAGTTAAAGTGACATAAGAGTACTCAAATGGAGTGTTGCTTTCGTAACGAAAAAGGTGATATTAAGTAATGTGCAATATAATATAATACGATATAAAATAGGATGCCGTTCACTGCGTTATATGAGCCGTTCACTGCATAAATCGATTAACTCCATTTTTTGAAAAATCTTGAATTTAAGTGTCAAAGCACTTGGTATAGTCATAACTTTTTATATTTATAATAACTTTCCCTGATAATTAAGATTAACACCATTAAACGACAAAAATTTGTTGACCACTGAATAATAAATAATTCATTTCAGAGGTCGCTTTGATTAACTCCGTTCTCTAATGTAAATCGTTGCAATAATGCAACTCAGATGCACTAGCAAGCCATGAATGACAACGGTGAATTTTTTAGTGCCGTCTTATTAGAATTTAAGTAAAATTTAGTAAAATTTAAATTTATTACTTTTTTCAATTGCCAAATCGATTAACTCTTCCAGTAACATAAAAATGGTAACATTACTAACGATTACCTTTTGGCTATTTTTTCTTATAAATTTTATATACCGTTAGATGAAAGTTACATTTGTGTTTATGCATTCTACGATATTTATTTCGATTTAAATTATAAAGGGAATTTTAAAAAACAATATACATTATTTCATTGCATTTCTTCACTTTTTGTTTTATGGAGTTAATCAATTTGTGCAGTGAACGGCTCATATACCGGGTGGTCAACCTGCATACATCTGTACTGCTAAAGTATGTGTCATACGAAAATCTGTTTTATGCAAAAGTAGCATAATTTGGGAAGATCCTTCACGTAATGCAGACATTAGTTTAGTAGCTGAAGGTGATTCGAAGATTTTGATCTTTAGAACTCTAAACTGTTTCAAAACAAAAATACTATATTTATAAGTTGCGTGGACCACCCCGTAAAAGAAAATATAATACAGTGTGGAAAAGGGATTTATTGCATTTCTTCACTTTTTGTTTTATGGAGTTAATCAATTTGTGCAGTGAACGGCTCATATACAGGGTGGTCAACCTGTATACTTCTGTACTGCTAAAGTATGTGTCATACGAAAATCTATTTTATGCAAAAGTAGCATAGTTTGGGAAGATCCTTCACGTAATGCAGGCATTAGTTTAGTAGCTGAAGGTGATTCGAAGATTTTGATCTTTAGAACTCTAAACTGTGTTTCAAAACAAAAATACTATATTTATAAGTTACGTGGACCACCCCGTAAAAGAAAATATAATACAGTGTGGAAAAGGGATTGCAACGTAGAATATAAATTTTGAGTAATTAAATTTAAAATATATACTGGATGTCTCATTTTAATATATTAATGCAGACAAATGGTGAAGTATTTTGGTTGAAAGAAAAGCTTTTGGGGTTTAAATGAGGTCGAAAGGTCATCAGAAGATACGGACAGAAAGTTACTAGGTGAAGGTTTCAGATAAAATCACTTACGTTATGTGATACCTGACACATTTTTCTTTAGAACGTTACATGAATTTCATGTATGACTTTGTTAAAGAATTCGTGAAATACGATAAGAAAATTTCTTTAAGCTTCAATCCAGCTTTTATATGAAAATTAAATTCAGTGCATGTAATGAGTACGAATACATTAAATATTTTTAACAAAATGGCTAAATTTTCTCAATCAGACATGATATAAGAAGGTACAGTGAATTAAATATGTCTTTGTATAAAAATTATGTTGTGATATATTTATAGTCTCTGATATTTAAGAAAAATATTTGATTGAAAACAGAGTACTCTAGTTTTTATCATTTCATGACACATTACTATTTTGGTAATATTTTCATGATTTCTCAAAAATTGGCGACATAATACTACCATAAAATCTGTGTTGCTTTAAGTCTCTTCATTAAACTCATACATGAAATAATATAATTCAATTTCTTTAATATCTTTTGCCTTTGTGTAAAGAAGAACACATCCGATGTCACTTGAGAAAATGTAATTGTCCTTCACCCAATATGAACAACTCTATCTGGCAACCTGTTGCCTACATCTTGTGCTGTTCCTCTCGATCTCCTGTAACTCCTTAAAAATCCTCTTTTACTCGACTAATCTATTTTTCGAAATATCAACATTAAAATGAGGCACTATATGTATAACCATAAAATCACCATTAAATACCTTTAATAAATAAATAAGAAGTGAAAGGTAATTATATTTTTCTATAAAATATACTGTCAAAGAAGAACAAAAATTATTTAATGAATTTAAAAGAAGTATGAATAATTTTATGTACTGACTTACTGATATAATTAATAATTTATGGAATAAGAAAATATAGAGGTTAGAATAACTTACCAATAAGCATATCAGTGGCTGCTAATGAGGCAATGAAGTAGTTGCTCGGTTGCCTGATGGCACTATCTACGATAAATGCCAGAAGGACGAGAATATTACCGCTGATAGTTAACAGTATACATAATGCGAGGGAGAAAGCAATCAGTATCGTCTGCCAGAGTTCGAAGGGTGGTAGAACAGGCGCGAAGGGTTCCGCTGTTTAATATATAGAATATACATTTTCAGTCAATTTCCAAACTTATACCTCATTTATTCTTATTACTAAGTAGAAAAATATCGAAATTAATAACCTAGTTATGGTAGATTTTAATATAGAAGCAAAAATCATCATTATTTCATTTTTTTACTAAAATCTGTGCCATTTTGCAATTTTAAAGTACCATAATAATAATTTTGAATTCATTTGTTATAGTAATAATATTAAATTAAATTGCTATGATAGTAATTGTAGCAAGTAGTTACTGTTATATTATTATAGTAGTTAGTAATAGAATTAACACATACTTGTAATAGTACTATTATTCTAATTACTATTCTGTATGATAGTATTTCTACTTTATATTATGTATAATAATAGTTATATATAGCAACACAATAGTGTTGAGAAAAATTTTTTGACTAAAATCTATGCCATTTTGCAATTTTAAAGTACCATAATAATAATTTCGAATTCACTTGTTATGGTAATAATATTAAATTAAATTACTATGGTAGTAATTGTAGTAAGTAGTTACTGTTATATTATTATAGTACTTAGTAATAGAATTAACTATAATAGAATTAACACATACTTGCAATAGTACTATTATTCTAATTACTATTCTGTATGATAGTATTTCTGCTTAAATTATGTACAATAATAGTTATATATAGCAACATAATAGTGTGGAGAAAAATTTAATTGCGTTACCGGTTGATAGGACTGTTGCATTTCCCGTTATCGTCCCGTTGGTAATATTTGACCAGTCTGACAGAAGTTCTATGTACTCTCCACTGCTCCAACGTGGATCATTCGGGTCAGGCCAGCTTCCATTAAGCTGCGAGCATTCCGTTAAATGATTGTACATGCCACAAAGACGCTTCCGTTGCCTCTCCCATTTCCTAAAAATTATTTTCCAAATTTATTTCATTTTATTTGCATTAGTATTATCTTAGCATGTAATCTATTATGTATTCTTGGAAAGTGTTGACAGAGAAGAATAGGAAGAATAGGAAAGCAATAAGAAGTACAGGTAGCCCTCCTACAACGTGGCATCCTATAACACGGTTTCACTATAACACGATTCATAAATTGCGAGAAACCTCCTACAACACGGCATTCTATAACATGATTTCACTCTAACACGATAAGAAAATTACAAAAACCTTTGTACAACACTATACTTCTATATCAGTAGTGACGACGGAGAAATTTTTTAAATTAAAGTTGCGTTAAATTAAAATAATATTTCTGCTTTTTTGTTTTGTTTTGTGTTGTACATACATTTATATTTTTAATAAAAATTAAGTTGTTTATGTAGAATTAGAAAAGAAATTTGTTTTTAATAAATTTTCGGAACGTAACCCGCTTTTTGTACTGGCTCTGGGTCTCATACAACACGATTTCACAAAACACGGAATTTTCTAGAAACCTATCTACCGTGTTATAGGAGGGTTACCTGTACTTTACCGTGAAAAATTTTATAGTATGTGCGATTAATGAAAGTTCGTTGATATTATTTTATTAAATGTTTCAATAAAATTGAAATGGTTATAGCAATTCAATAGGATTTTTTCTCCTTATTTATGTAAGAAAAATTAGCTCACCACGATATTAGTCGAAAATGTCAATAAAATTGAATTTTTCAGTCAAATCCTATTAGAATTGAAATATCGTTGATATTATTATTTTATTATATTACTTATATTAGATTGTTCAGAAAAGACGTCAAAATGTTTAATTAACGTTTATCGTCCATATTGTGTATTGTATAGTAGAAATCTACTGTATATATGCTTCATTATATAATACAGCAGATACTGTACTGTAATTATGAAATTATTCATGCAGATGCCTGCCTGGTCCTTAGAGAAAATGGTTGTTTGGCAAGTACCAGAGCAAACTCCCCATTCTTCACTCTATTTATATACTGCATTCTATTTAATACATAGAAAATTTTCACACTTATATAATACGTGTAACCTAGCACAAAATCAAGAACGAAAAATAACCCACCCCAAAAAGAAAGAAAGGAGTAATCAACAGAAAATAAAATCAACGTCGTACAAAATAGTTCAAAATGGCTACCATTTAACCACAGATAATATCCATATATCATACACTGTTCATAGTATATAAAGTCAAATACAAAGTAAATCACTCACCAAAAGTGTAAAATAGTCAAAAAGAGATAGAATCGAGGTTGTAAAATATATTTCAAAATGGCTACCGCTTTTCCTCAACCTGGGAAAACTTTTTTGCCAAAAACTAAATTGGCAATTCGGTAAACTGTTAACAATAGCACGACGCGTGTGACGATTCGCAACAAAGCGTATTAGGAGGGAGTAGTGAATCATAAGGGCGTTACTTCTTTAGTAATGTTCGTTAGCATCGAAGAAAATGTGACAGCGGTATTTCCTGATTTTAGCTAGTGACATGCATGCCTCTTGCTCTCTATGAAACATTGCTGCAGTGGCAACACGAGAAGCAAGTCAAAGGCTGAATACACCGGGCGCACAATGAGCTTGAAATAAGCATGAATGGAACCACATCCATTCCCCGCTCGCAGGTCCCCGTCGCCGGCAGGCAAGAAACGATGGGCCGCGCCTTAAAGAGGGTGACTCGTTTTTAAATAATTTAGCCAGTCGATCGTAACTGCCCCAGGTTAAACGTACTTGAGGCTCCTGCATTTTCGAGCTTCGCGTTCGTAACAGATGTGATTATCGTGGCTCATTCATGGACCTGCCTTAGGAAATATTCACTGCATTTATCCAGTTACGTCTTCTACTTATGAGAAAACGACCCTTGGGGGTGATTGATTGGTAACGAAGTCAGTTTTCATTTTGGGTTTGTTGAAACTAGCTCCGGGGCCAGAATTGGTGATTTACGAGTAGATTTGGGTTAGGGTCATGGAACGATATTGTATGATGTTATGTGCTTGTGCTATGTATTGCTGTTTGTCATAATAATACGATTCTATATTTAGTGTATGGAATAATATCTTTCGTAGAGTATAATACTGTTACATACACCTTGTATAGACTAAAGCCACAAGTAGAAACAAGATTAGTACTATTTATTCCTAATTATTATTAAAGGAACTATATTATTGGATATATACACTTTATTCTCTTCACTCGTCTAGTTTTTAATTTGAAATTCCTTCAATAAGGTGATAATAGCATTTTCTATGTAATTCCTATTAATTCTTTGCACTCGGCGATCTTTTCGTTACAGAAACATAGTAATTCGAAGACTTGCTGCCATAAAGTCGACGATATTTTCAAAACGGTAACTAAGCAAATTAATTGTAAGACATAGAATTATTTTACCTCGATATTTTAAATTTGACATATTAATTAATAATGATCTCTAGAATTCGATTAAATGATGACTGAGAGTCGCCTCTCGATTGCAAAGGGTTAATAATTTCTTAAAGTATAATATGATATAGCAGACAACTACAGAATTACGTCTCGTTGATAGATTTAAAATTTTGTTCAATTAAATATTTCACAGTTGCTCCCAAGAAGCCATAAAATAACAAAATATAAGAAAACCGCGGATAGGAGATGGTATATATGAGCAAACATGTTCCACCTCATCCTTTCATCGTTTTAATTCCAAACCACAAACGCTCCTGATAAAGCATTATCGTTCTTCTTTTCACCGTTTAAGATAATTTCTTTATTGTATATTACCAACCACGTTCCATGTGGTGAGAATACGCGACTCTATAGAAACTTTAGACAGGTTAATGGTTCATTTTACCTGAAAAACAGGTATCCATAGCTTAGGCAAACTTAATTTCCAACTAAATGAACATACTACTTCGTTATGTACATTCTATCAAACAATTGGATATTTACTCGAAAATTCAATTTCACGATAATTGACCCGTTTAGAATACGAAGTTATAATCTCTACCTCTTCGAATTTTCGATTAAAATCGCCAAATTCCATTTTGATAGATAATTCTGAACTTTGCGACAAGAAAACTAAGAAACAAGTAAATTCGCAAGGTTGACTAGAACGAACAGCATCGGAGTTGAAATTTCGCTCTTTCTTTCACGAATGAAATTATCTGGAAGCTTTGGGGACCACGGTTAACGCGATGTCTCAGATTCGACATCAGATTTGCAAATCGATGAGATCGTTCTAAGATTATTAGAACAGACCCCTACGAACGCAGACAATGAAGCCACGTGAATAAAAGATAGAGAGATGAGATCCATTGTTTCAATGTTCTCGAGGGTAAATACTTGTCCTCGTTATAGCAGCCTTTCTCTTCATGTTGCGCCACCGTGAAATGATTCGTAAATACTTGTCCTCGTTATGGCGGCGTTTCTTTTTTACAGCCCCGGCAAGTGAAATGATTCGTAAAAAGGAGCCAACTACCTGTAATTCAGCGAAACTTAGAACGAACATGATACTGACAAAGAGGGACGGTATAGATACAAATAGCGTATTAGAATGTAAACACCTTAAATCGAAATGTAGTTCCTTGATTTTTAGCGAAACTGATGATTGATAGGAAAAATACGATTTACGATATACACCTAATTCTGTTTTTACACGATAGATACGTTCCCGAAAAATACGTGTAAGAAAGATTCGTGCAAATAAATATATTGCATCTATGGAAAAATAGAAGATTGGTTGCAGTCCCAAGAAATCAGCAAAAATAATACAATAAACCATGAGTTTTCATGTTAGGATCTTAAACATTTTATTTCATAAAGATTGCACTTGTATCGTACAAAGTAAATTGTCATTTGAAAAGGAAAAAAACATGTCACTAATTCATGAACACAAAAATTAGACAAGATAATATGATTTACACGTAAAAAGATTTTATTCGTTGTCACTTTTTGATAATAAACGCATACGTTTGCGTAAGACTGCGATATTACTGCTATCACTGGAAATGTCTTGGTTATCGTCTTCGTGCTTCATTGGTGAAATTCTTTCTGTAATCTCTTGAACAAAATTAGGACTAGCCCCCTTCAGTGAATTTAAGAACGAATTCAGTAATTAATCGTTGTGTTTGTGTTTTGGCTAGGCCATTGTATATTCTCTGTATGAGGACATTAATGATTTCAAATAACGTTGAAACTTCCCAGCTCGTTCCTCATTAGAATCATGTTTAACGAAATGATAGAAAATTTTCTTCCTAGAATTTGGGTCGATCGTGTTAAATCAAAATAAGTCGTGTAAAAAGAGAATTAAATTTGTTTCCTAATTCGTGTTAAATCAAAATCGTGTAAAAGAAGTTCGTGTAAAAACAGAATTGGGTGTATTTATGGTGCGTGGAATATATACAATGCAATGATAAATTATTATTATAGTATATACAGTGAATATTCAAGATAATTTACAGAAATATTTCAGGAAAAAAAATGTTTGTTTCGTTCATAAACACGATATTCAATTAAATAAATGCTAATTAGTTTTCGAGTGATATTATAATAAAATTAGAGATACGATATACGAATCTCATATTCTGCATGCAAATGACAAATTATCACAGTAGTATGCAGAGGAGAACATTTTGCTTTCGTAATTTGAAGCTGTGAAGTTAAAATATTTAATGAGCTAGAATATAGATTATAAAGACGAATCGGAGGAAATATGAACTTCCAATTTGAATTAATAATTTTTAATAAATTTTACAATTTTCTAGTCTCATTTCACAGATATCTGTCCATTAATACCATATGTTATTTAAATTCGTTTAAATAAAAATAGAATTCTGTCTGTAATAATATATTACGATTTATATACTCTTTTGCAATTATACATGTTTATGTTTTATTTTCATAACACGATTTTAATTATTATTACGTACGTGTACGATATTTAAATACACGATATATAGACAGTTTTAATTTAAAAAGCTGTT